TAACAATAAATCAAATTTAGAGTTAAAAACTTGAAATTAGCTAATTAAAATCTAAATATCCAACAACACAAATAAATTAAACGAAGAAGATGACTAAAGAAGATGACTTAAATTTAGAATTTTAGATGGTTAAATCAAATTTGTCCCGAATTCTCGACTAAAATGTTGATTTGTGGTTGGATTGTGTGGGTTGTGGGCTTTTAAAATGAAAAATGAGCTTAATTTATGGATTATCTAGTCAAAACTCACTAATCCAAGATGAAAAACTCAAAAGGAAATAGGCAAAAAGTCCAACTGCCAAACAGAAGGTAAAATCGAGATTTTACCTGATTTCACAGTAAAATCAAGATTTTACCTGATTTCACAGTAAAATCAAGATTTTACCTGATTTTAGATTTTAGGATAGATTTTACATGAAATATCTTGCTGAAATCATAAAACTATAAAATTTTAAGATTTAAATCTAGATTTTGACAATACTGGTTTGTCCAACATCAAGAGCTTGGTGATGCTGTAACTCTCAAAAATTGACTAGTCCAGTAGTCTGTGAATACTTAAAAGGGTTACTGCCAAGCCGAAATTGTTAGCAAATAATCATTATTTACAGGATTTTTTTTTGTTTTTATATTGAATTATATAATAAAATATAATTTTTTTCCATACCCTTAATCTCTTATTTATATATTATGCGAATTAAATTCATAATTTTTTTATTTTCATAAAAAATAAATTACTACTAAATTATTTAAATAATTAACAATCATTATAACAATTATGCACAACTCACTTATACATTCCTTCTTAATATGAAACTGAAAGTCTCTTGGTCCATCCCTTAATTTTTCTCCTCAAAAAATTTGAAATTCCCCATTGAAAAAACAAAATTAATGTTGGGACTGGTGAGTGTCAAATTAAGTTCTCGGGTCTTTAAATTGCATTGAGTGCGCGTACTATATATGTACTATGAAGACTAGCATAAGTAACCCTAGCTAGATCATCTTTTTGACGCTATAGCTAGGAAGACTCTTCCTTCCACCACTCCAACACCACACCAGAGCCTTGCATCTCAAAACCATCTCTCTGCTTCTTTCAAAATATCATCATGAACTTAGAAGAGAAAGTTTCCATGGACCTGGTTCCACAATCCGAAAGTCTCTGCTATGTCCGCTGCAACTTTTGCAACACTGTTCTTGCAGTAATTTCCGTTTATCCTACCTTGTGTGTGTGTGTATATATATATAGTTGCTAGCAAACCTATGTAATGTACGTACCATACTGATTCAAAATTCATATCTTTCTGACTAAAATGTAGGTCGGAATCCCGTGCAAGAGGTTGCTGACCACCGTGACTGTAAAATGTGGGCATTGCAGTAACGTCTCCTTTCTCAGCACTAGACCTCCGCTGCACGATCACCAGACCACTCTTACCCTACAGGTACATTAATTAATTAATATAACAAGTTTTCGAAGTGTACAATTGATGTGATCTACACATACATACATATATATACATATATATTCATTTTGTCAACTTGTCAAGGAAAACCAGAGTTTTTGCGAGGATTTCAGGAAGGGACAATCTTCCTCTACTACTACACCTAGTGAGCCTTCCTCCCCCAAGGCACCATTTGTTGTAAAACGTATGTAAGCGCCGGGACACATTAATTAATCACTTTTCTGCTTGTTTTATTTATCAACAAGAAGTTATTATTATTAGTATTTTTTTTTTCTTTTAGCAAGTTACATTAAGTTTGACTTGGTTTCTCTAACAAATTCTCTTTGGATTTATGCTGGATACAGCACCTGAGAAGAAACACAGGCTCCCATCTGCTTACAATCGGTTCATGAAGTAAGTATGATATTATCCTAGATAGCTATGTGAAGAATATTGTATACCTCATGCGTTTAAATCATAATAGTTAATAATTTTGTTAACTCGACCTTGAAAGGGAGGAGATACAGCGAATCAAAGCAGTCAACCCCGAGATACCGCATCGAGAAGCTTTTAGCGCAGCAGCCAAAAACGTATATTTTAGCAGACTTTCTAAAAGGAAAACATTTTTAAAAACACAGCTCTATTACTTCTTCTTGTTGGGGGAAATAATTAACTGATAATATTTCTTTTACATTTTTGGACAGTGGGCTAGGTACATTCCAAACTCCTCAACTGCTTCAGCTTCTGGAAGCACTAAGCAATGTAAGCGTGCAAAGTGATGTCTATAATTGGCATTATTATTCATTTTTCAAAAATTATTAAGTTGTACTTCAATGCTTAAACATTTGCAGGAATGAAGGTTTGAAGATCAATTGGGGAGGACCTCTCTACTTAATTTAGGTTATTTAACTTTAGCTTTTATTAACTATGGCTTTAACTTTGGTTTTGTGCAAGTATGCTAGACTATCAATGTTTGAACTATCTTTTTTAGTTCCAGCAAAATCCTTGTAATTTGATTCCAGGTACCTGAACAACTAGTTTCTAAAATTTAAGTAATTAATTTCGGGAATATTTATTGATATCTTTTGGAAGTGAAGAGAGAAGCGAGTTAATTGGAATTTGAACCTCTCCTTGATGATAGCAATTGCATGAAATAAACGATGCTAATTAACGCTTTGTAGAGTGCAGCAGACCCATTATGTTTTTGTTTTTCCTTTTATTTTTCTTACTTTAATATCAAAAGCAAAAAGAGATTTTCTCATGAAAATATTTTTTATGGTCACAAAGAGGGTTAGGAGTTGAACTTCTCATATTTGAATTTTGATATTTGTGCCGGAATTTTTTTGGCACTGATAATTATTGGATTGTGTTGCGGAAAAAATTTATTATAATAAGATTCAAATTAATCATTATAGAGTTAATCATAACATTTCATTATTAAGCTTATAGGAATAAACGAATTCGAAAAAAATAAAGGAAAGATTATGTTGTTAACATCATCTTTTCACTCCTCAACAACTTTTTAATTGGATTATGCTATTGAGATTTGTTTGTGGATTTGCACAAAAAGCGAAAATGCATGATAATAGGGTGGAGAGATTTTGAAAGGTAAAAGATTTCTTCTTTTCTTTGACGTTGAATACCAAAATTACTTCACAAAAATTTTTAATTTTGAACATTTTTACTCTTTAAATTATTTTTTTTGTCATTAATTTAAAAAAAATGTATTTTTTTAATTCTTTCATTAGTTAATCCATTAACTTTATCCATATATGTATATTTTTAATTCATATTCATGGACTAAAAAAATATATATTATAAGTTTAGAAACTAAAAAAGTATTTTTATGAATAGAGTTAATTAATGAATTAACTAATGGAAAAATTAAAAAGTATATTTTTATAGTTCAAGGATGAAAAAAGTGCAAAAAAACAATTTAAAGACTCAAAATGTTCAAAATTAAAAGTTTATAAACTAAAATTGGCATTTAACTTTTCTTTAACTTTTATAATATATTTAAATTAATATATTTAAATTAAAAAGAATGGAGTGCCAACAACTTAAATAACTAAGTGGTTATCTCTTTCTGTTGAAACTAAAAGGTCTTAAATTCGAGTCGTGTGACATGCTGGTGGAGTAAAATAAAAGATAAAAGACGAAAAATCATTATTTCTCATTGCGCAAGCAATATCAAAAAA